TTGCTCTCCTCATGCTTCTCTTGGCAGGGTCTCTTCACAGCATTCAGGAGCAGTTGGGGACTATTGCAGGAACTGTTGCTATTAGCATAAAACCTGTTGCATGCACAGTCTGCTCCAGCACCAGCAGAATGGCCAAAGTTCCCTGTGTCCCGGTAGCGAGAGAGCAGATGCAGCCCTCAAGAGCTTGTGACCCACAATTGGACGACCCTGCCCTAATCCAGTTGTGTAATTTCCATATAATTAATTGCTCCAAACAGTTTGACAGTGTCTGTGGATGTACCTGTATGCATCTTGCCTATCAAATGTAATTGCATCAACTCTGAGGGAACATTTGAAGCTTCCAATATTGAATTTCACTAACTTTCTTCTCATACAGACTCATATTCTGAATGCATATCCGTATGGGCCAAAGTGACTGTGACTCTGCACTGACTGTTGAGGTGATGGCTACAGGAAAAAAGTAGAATTTCATGCATGAACATAAGTGCTGGCTCCCGCCGTGTAGCACTAGATTCTCATCAGCCTTTTCCCAGACAAGTTAGGAGTGCGAAAAGCCTTTTTGTTTCAAAAACCTACTGCAGTAAGCCGGTTGTGATATTTTAACTGTGATTAGTTTCCTTAGTTTTAAATGTTGTAATATGCTTAAGTATTAGTCATAAAAAAGGATTCCCTTTGGTTCTTTGTTTATTACTTCTACACTCCCTTTCTGTTTAAATCATTGAAATGTTGCACATCATGTCAAACAGAATATGAAATCATGGTTTCAAGTGACCATGTTTTGCATTAACAGTAAAGAAGGATGAAACTTGTACCAAGCCACTGTGATTTTGGCAAATTTCCTCATCTTTTGGTCTGCTGTGATGATGACCTAATTCTGGAACCTTTTAATTGGAAGTGCTGAAGGAAGTGGCATTTTATAACTAGGATAAAGCACCATTTTTGTGATCTTGTGGAATAAATGGGATGTTTCATTTAATCTTTGCCACCTATGATTTAAATTTTAATTGGGGTTAAGACAACAAAGCAGGTTTACAACAGGTAATGGTTAAATATTATGCCTGCACAGGACTACATGATAAAAAAAATCACCTGAATGTTTGCTTGCTGTTTCTTGTTTCTTAGCTAGCCAAGGAAGACATTCAAATTGTTCTTGACATGTGTGGCACGTTACTGCAAAAGCCTTGCCTGAATATAAGAAGCATCTTGCTTTTAATTCATTACGTGACCTTTGAAACAAAACGGCTTTGGGTCTCTGCTGTTTCCCCTAAATTGGGAGAGACAAGGAAGAAGCAGAATATTATTGTGCTTTACCTAGCCTTCCCAAAGGAAAGGAAAAGCTTGGTTGGAAAGGTAAATTTTTCAGGGATTTGTCATATCTGTAATAAGCCCATTGCATTAAATATGTAAATTGCACGCACAGTGCATGGCTGCAGCCTGTCTTTGGTTCTGTCAGCACAGCCCATAAGATCCCATTTGTCTAGAAGAATGCTTTTCTGAAAGGTATGATTATTCTAGACTGCTGAACAAGTTCTTTGATGTGACTGGCATTTAAACAACCATAGTGTTTTGAAGAATGACGAGAAGTACTCTGCAGGAGTGATTTTTTTTATATACGTGTATTGACAGGAGGGAGGAAATGGAAAAGAGAAAAATGGGGGGCTGGGTTGGGGGGCTGGATTATGCTGTTGCTAAATATCATATGTGTACAGAAGCAAGACAGCCCTAATTTGAGTTGAGTTGCCCCTGCATCCCTTACCATATTGTCAGCAAATCTGGGACAATTTTTCCATTTAAAAAGTAATATTGGGGTGGGGGAAATAATCTTCCCTTCAGGAAAATATGGTCTTTCCTGAACAGTATCAAAATCTGAATCATCTGTAGTCTGAAGACTATGAGCAGTGATTGCAAGAGGAAGGGGAATTGTATGTGGAAGGGATGAAGATAGCTGCTTCAGAAATGCTGAGGAGCATCTTGAACACTTGAGTATACATTCTGTGAGTTTTATTGGAAACGTATCAATATTATTAAGATAAAATCTCCTTCTAGGTACCAGAAAATGAACATGATCTTCTCAGTGATGGTCTAAAGCAAAAGTCGAGGTGTAGAGATTTAGAGATAAAACAACTTTGTTTGCTCATATTTTGTAAAGGAAGTTCATAATTGATTCAGTTCTGCAATTTCACCTATGCTGGCTTGTAAAAAAAAGATAACTTCTGTAATAATAAGTGCTTGGTGAGTGGGCATCTTTGAATTCAGTGAAACTCATATCAACTCATATTATCAACCAGTGACTGCTTGGACCTCTGATAGTATTATGAAAACATTCTGTGAGAATGATTCCATGATAAGAATCATGGTTGCGCATTATGTCCATAATGGGGAGAAACTTTAGCTGCCATATAGAAGATCTGTTGGGAAAGGCTGTTCTAGAGCTATTTATAGCTGTTTTCAGAAAGGTGACTTTCTAAAGAAGTGGTCATGTTAATATATTACAGGAAAAACAACCTTGTTTTGTGGCCACTTAAAGGCTAAGGGTATTAAGGGCATTATAGCACGGTAAGAAATTTATCACAGGGAGGAATCAATTCCCCGACTAAAGGCATGCAGTATAGAGGAGCTTCTGCATCCAGTATTGATGGTCTGAGAATTAGAGGCCATTAATAGATTCTTTAAATAGTGTATTTCTGTCTAAAATAACATCACTAATTCAATCTAACAGGGCATAGTCTCTTGCAGAATGCAATGCTCATCCTCTATTTCTGTTTTCATCCTTAATCATTTCTGAATAGGTTGAAGTTGGCTTGAAAAACAGTCATTTCAGGCCATTTTGATGAATTGGGAGGAAGATTAGGAATGGGAAAACTAATTGGATTTCAAATTCCCATTTCCACCTGTAATTTGGGGGGGGAGGGGGGAAAGGGTGTGTGTGAAGAATCACACTGCCAAGATTTGATTGCTTTACCACTGAATCTCAGGATGGTTGGAGCCATATATAGGTGCTTGTGGTGCATTCTTCATAGTTTGCTTACTAATATATCTCTTGAGTATGTATGTGGTAAACCTGTTCTCCTTTTGGGTTCCTTACTCAGATATACCAATTTAAAAGAAGAAAGAACTACCATGAAATGGAGCATGGCCTTCTCAGTAGAACATCTTTTGCCAACCTGCTGCCTCCAAATATATTGAGCCAACTCCCATAATTTGGCTATGCTGGCTAAAAATTTGGGATTTTATATCCAATATATTTGGAGGATACTTGGATGAGGAGGGCTGCTATAAAACACGTTCTGAAAATGATAAAATTTAAAAAGCATTTGTTTTAGAGAGTGGACAAACTTGTACATGTTCCTTCTTGTTGCTAGGGTTAGCATTGATGTTTTTGTGGGTGTAGTAGATAAATTAGATAACATTTATTTTTTCTATATTTTAAGAGTAATATGTTAGTTAAGTTTTAAGAGAAAGGATAATACCTTTTTAAAAGATGCACTGTGCTAATGTGCTAAAAGTAGCTTTGGAAGTACTGTGTGCATATTATTTTGCAATGTGTTATAAAAACACAGTCCTTGCTCAAGGAAACTTCAGTTGAAGTATTTAATGAATGAATCACTGCAATAGAGATAGTGGGAGAACCAAGGGAAACCTAGATGAGACGATCACTAACACAAATATTTTGAATATCTTAATTCATTTTAGCTGATATCCCTGAGCTGAAATCAAGAATAAAACATATATACATATTATTCTGGAGAATGGTGTATATAATTTGATCTTGGTCTTCATGGAACAGTTATAATATCTCATTATAGTGTAGAATGATGATGTATAGCAGCATGAGAAGTTTTGTTTAGATAAAAGACATATCAATCAAAACCATGTTTTATTTTTATAATTTGCATGGAAGTTATCTTAGATAATTTCTTGCAAATAAGAGAAATGATGTTACATCAGTATTGCATAATGCTTTCCAAATTTTGTTTACTGTTCATTGTTTCCTTTCAACCTTATCTTTGAGTTCAAAGCAGAAACATTTACAGGTAGCCTAAGAAAGAGTGTATAGTACTGTCATTAATTCAGTTCAAGATATATTGAACTGTAACTCTCATAAAACCCTCTGTCTAGAAATGATGGGGGTTGAACATATCCAGGTGAAACCAAATTGGAGAAGGCTGATGGTAAGCCATAGCTGGAGGACCTTAGGAACTTCAGTGATCTACAGTGATGTACAATATTACTTGAAGGCAATATGAAGAATAATTACTGTTCATTGTTTCAGTATAAATTTGGGGTATAAAGAATCATTTGGTATAAAACATATTCCACAAGCATTACAATAGCTGAATGGCTTACTTTGGAGAATAGTTATTATACCCTCCAATTGCCCCAAAGTAGATACAAGATGTACAATTCTAGCAACTAGATTTTTTTCATGGCTAGGATAGGGACGGAATCTAGCCCTTTGGTTTTTCCAAAAGTGAGCAGTGATAGCGAAGAGAGATAAATGTAAAATTATTCCTTATCTTACAATGAAGGTGGAAGAGTCACTATGGCAATTTGAATGTGAAATTGATCTGAAGAGCTGTTTTGCACTTCTGAAGTTTTGGTATTGATCTTCATGTAATGAATTGCAGGGGCTCCAGGGCCTAGGATGCGTGAGTGGAACTGTGATGTATATTCCACTGCTGTCAGAACAAATGTTTTTTCTGTTCTATCAATAAATCTTACACAGACAAAATCCATTTTGTATACTGAAAGAAAAAAAAACCATCCTGTTTATTTCAGAAGAATGTCTAACAAATACCTTTATCAAGTAGTAAATGGAAATAGATTTTGTTATAAATGAATACTGTGGGTTATGACTATAAAAACAGTGCACATATTTCAGGGGCTACCTGTGAGACAGAATTAAGATGGCTCCATTTGTCAATCCCATATTGTTATTTATAAACTTTGATGGGAAGATGAATATGCTTAATGTGGCATATGTTGTGTTCCATAGGTGCTAGAACAAGATGTGGTTCTGCAATCTATTGACAGAGCTATTGAAGCCATTCATAATGAGGCAATGAAGAATGGAGGAAAATACAACTTGGAACAGAGGGATGTCCTCCAGTAAGTAAAACAAGGACATTCAGGACAGTATGAAAATACTTTTATCTGAAGGCAAATGCAACTAAGCCTTGCAGTTACTACTTAGAATCATCTTAGGTATTATAAGAGACATTGAGCTGGCTCTCTCTTTCTTTCATTCATCTTTTCTCCGTGTAGTACTTTATTCAAGTCACGTGGTATGGCAATGTTTTCAAAGGGTTGAATATTGATTTGCAGATCATTATCAAGGTTTGTGAAGGCATAGCATAATTCTCATAATTTAGAAGAGTGGAAAAGCAGAAGAGGATGCTGTTTTAAATTGAAGGACATCATAGCTGAATGAATGAATGAATGAATGAATGAATGAATGAATGAATGAATGAATACAAAGTAACTTAAGCTAAAGATCAAATGTGATTTCTGATTACTTTGGGAAAACAACTGTATTAGTGAGTTGCTGTAAGTAGAGCATTTCTGTCATGAAATGTCATATCATCAGATAATTTCGCTGGATTAGACATTGGAACGAGGATGAGTTTTTATCCTGATGTGAATTATTTTGTCCTGATGTGAATTATTTTGTGAAATAAGGGAATCAGGGAGTTGTCATAGAGTGCACATATAATCAACATAGAGAAGAACAAAGATAGTGAAGATGTTTGGCATCCAAGAGAACAGAGATTTGTAAGCAATTAATTCCAGCATCAAACTACCTGACGTTTAAGAAAGTCTTCATTTATTCCTGGCATTCCAAACTAGGAACTGTTATGTCTCAGTGCTTGACATGGGCAAAATATTTTTTTTTCTTGAGAAGTTATTTTTAATTACCAAAAAGAGAGAGAGAGAGAGAGAGAGAGGGAGGGAGGGAGGGAGGGAAACATAACAACAATAATAATGGTCCAGATCATTCCCTTCCTATTCCATCCAATTAAATACAATGTAAGAAAGAAAGCAGTAGTTTCCTGAAAATGCAACCAAAGAGAGTAAGAGGTAAGGGAGATAAAAGCCTTAGTGTGGAAGAAAAAGGAAAAATGGAATACAGGAAAGCTCTTAGGCTATACAGAGGACTGTGTATTGTTGAAATGGATTGATTCTATTACCTTTTTGAATGTTAGATTAAAAATTATTTTTTTCTATGTAAATCTTTAGATATT